TGAGTTTGAGTAGCATCCCGAGTTAGTCGCAAAAGATTTCGAAAGATTTATAAGTATTTTTGAAGTAAAAGTTGCGAAAAAGTTACTCTAATAAGCGGGGTGTTACACACACACACACACACACACATATATATATATATGTATATATGTCATATGTTAAATATAAATTAAATTATTTAATATAATTTTGGTTAATGGTTTAAATATTATTTTATTTTTTTGGTTTTTTTATCGAATTTTCTTTGAGTTGTACAATATAAAAGTTAAATATTTAATTTTTAAATGTTATATTATTAACTAGACTATAAAAAATAAATAATTATATCTCAATATTTATTCCAAATACAATATAGAATTTTTTTATAGTCATTTTATTGTCAACTTAGTTAATAAATTATTAGTTACATTATATTTAATTTGTGAAATTATTTAATTTATTTTTATACATGAAACGGGTCGGGTTGAAATGGACCAGGTAAAACTCAAATCTAAGAAATCGGGTTACCCGTTTACCCGATGAAGACCCGATAACCCGTTGGGTAAAACCTAACCCGAACCCGAAGTTCACTAACCGGGTAACGGGTCGGGTACGAGTTTGGGTGAATTGCATGCGGGTCGAGTTCGGGTTTGCCAAAAACCCGCACCAGACCCGACCCATTTACATCCCTACTAGTACAATACCCGTGTATTACACGGGTGTTGAATTATAAAGCTTTTGTAAAAAATATTAATTTTTTATATTTTTAAAAACTAAAATAATTTAATTTTATATAAAATATACTTTTGGTTTTAACTAAATTGTCAAATTATATTTTTTTAATCATAATAATTAAACCCCTGTACATTAAATGAAAATGTCACCCGTGTTGAATTTTTTACTTATATCATATACAAATATCGATATTATTTACTATTACATAAGTATAAAAATATATATCTTAAATAATATAAATAATATGGTGATATGTATATGCATACGTGTAGAATATGTTTATTTAATATTAAGCAAAATATATTAATTTTTTTACTTAATTAGATGCCTAATACATCAAAAGTCGTATCAATCGTGCTTCACAGTTTTTTAACTTTATATGTAATTTTAGAATTTATATAAATAATTATTTATTTTTATTACATTGACAACATACCAATTAGATTTGAAATAAATATTATTTTTAAAAGACTATATATAATTTCAGAATGCGCTAAGCCTACGTAGCAAACTCTCATGCTTCGGAATCCTATTTGGCAAAAAACCATGCTTTGGAGTTAGTCTTGGGATATAAATTAATATTTGTATTAATTGTATTTTAATTTTAATATCAATTTCTATTACTTTATAATATAATTTATAGTTTTATTTGATATAATTTAATTTAGTTTGATAAATAAATTTAAATTTTATTTATAACGCTATATATTACTGTTTTGTATTATATATATATAAATATATATATATATATATATTATATATATATATAAATAGTAAAATACAAACGGACTTCATAATATCCATTGAAATGCAACACACTAATTAAGATTTTTTTTTTCTTGACAATATTAACCCTATTAAATGGATGATGTGTTATATTATAATAAATTTTCTACCTTATAACATATAACTACATCAAACATAAATATATTAATTGATAAATGATTTTATTTTCTAATTAATTTTAATAAATAATTTTATTATTATTATAAAGATAAATATAGTTTATTTATTTTATATATACAATATGGATATCAAATCGAAGCTCATCAAAAGATGATTAATTTGATATATTATATATGTAAAACCGATAAGAAATACAAAAGTTATCAACTTTTAAATATATTTGCAATTCAACGGTTATAATAGTAAATGACATAAAATTAAAATACAATTATATAAATATTGATTTATATCCAAGCCTAACTCCAAAGCATGATTTTTTGCCAAATAGGATTCCCAAGCATGAGAGTTTGCCACGTAGGCTCAGCGCATGATTAATTTGATATATTATATATGTACAACCGATAAGAAATACAAAAGTTATCAAGTTTTAAAATATATTTGCAATTCAATGGTTATAATAGTAAATGATATTAAAATTAAAATACAATTATACAAATATTAATTTATATCCAAGCCTAACTCCAAAGCATAATTTTTTGCCAAATAGAATTTTGAAGCATAAGAGTTTGCCACGTAGGCTCAGCGCATAGGCTTGTAAACAAATCAATTTTTTTTTATTCGATTCGATATTCGTGATTCGAATTCGAAATATTTGAATTCGAATTCGAATACGAATTATATTTTATATTCGAAAGTTAAACGAATCCGAATTTGAATTTGTAAATATTCGATTCGTTAACAATAATTATATAAATTTTATAAATTATATATAGTATACATTTTGTTTATAATATATATGTATATATATTTTGTTATATTCCTAATATTTTTATGACATAAAAGTAAAAATATCCTTAATTAACAGTTTTTCCTAAAAATATATGGAAAAATAAAAATTATTTTTGTAATTATAATATTATTTAATTACAATATTTTTTGAAAACGAATTTTGAATCGAATCGAATATGTTCGAATATTCTTTTTCATAAACGAATCGAATACGAATCAAAAGTTCGTTAACGAATCGAATACGAATTCGAATCCTCGAATACTTTAACGAATCCGAATCGAATATCTTAGTATTCGCTTTGATTCGATTCGTTTACAACCCTATCAGCGCATTCTGAAATTATATATAGAGGGGATAAGCTAAGACATTATTGGCCGAACGAGATATATATTGGACCATTAATATATAAAGTTTCTGAAAAAACGTTGGACCAGTTATAATCTATGTTTGTCCCATTTTTGTTGTGTTTTTTTTGTTGTCTTTTTGCGTTTCTTTTTTCCCCACATTAGGTCTTTTAGATGGTTTTTAGTTCATTTTGTAGTTTATTTTGTGTTTTCCCTTATCCTGAGTCTTCTTTGTGTGTTTCGGTTGTTTTTTGATTTTCTGCATTTTTCTCGTGTTTTGTGGTGTGCAGGTCAGGTGCCTCGATCGATTATAATTTGAAGGAGAAAATATTTTCGATGAGCTTATTTCGTAGTAGGATGCGTTGGTGTCACACCGGAGAAAACAGAATCGAATTCGGTTTCCAAACGAGCTCGAACGAACACAAAATGCAAAGTGATGCAATCAGGCCCGAGCTCCCAGACCCTCACGCTCGAGCGCCGCGCCGTGACGCCCGTCGCGCGCGTACAGAGTCTCATTTTTGCAGCTCTGTGCCGCGGGGTGCCACGGGCAGACAGAGACACGCTGATCACGCCCTGCCACGCCACGGAAGGTCCTCACGCCGCGCCACCTCCAGGTCCCACGCCGCGTCCTGTCCGCACGCCGCGACACACATGCCAAGATCTTCTCCTTCGCGCCGCTGCAAGACCATCACGCCGTGGCAGCCATTCCTCTCGCGCCGCGCCCGTTCCTTCCACGCCGTAAACCCTGCCTATTATAAATACATGATCGGGACTGGCAGAAGAGATCTTATCTCGCCCAGAACACAGAAAACCCTACCCTCGTTTCTTTCACTCGTTTTTTCTTTCTCTTTTCATATTTTTTTCATCGTAGAACAAGGATTTAAACTCGGATTTTGTCGTTGCTTTGTGAATCAATCTTGTTTATCAGATTCGACTCTCAATTTCATTTGATTGTAAGACTTCTATTCCTCTAATCCATGCATATGTTTGTCTTGATTTATGAGATTGTTTGTGTTGAATCGATCATGAGTGGTTAAATCCCATTGATAGGGTATAGGAGATTAATGTTTTGGATTCGTTTGTGATTGTTGGGATTCGTTGATCGTTCAATTTTGTACGAGTTGTTTTTAAATAGTGTTTCAATTATCGTACTTGAAAGTTGGATTTTATTGAAGGGTGACACTTCAATCTCCAATTGTTTTTCAATTGAATTTGATTCGTTCTTGCATGATGTTGTTAATGTTAAACAGACTATTTGATTAAACACCCTCTAGTCAAATTTAATCGACTCTTATAACTGAAAGGGGAGGAGTCGGTCGAAATAGGCTCGTACAAACTAGGCTTGTTCGTAACTGTATTGCCTAGGTGTTGAATGAATCTTTAATTTTCCGTTCACGTTTGTCCTCTTATTACGAAGTTATTGAGGACGATTCTCTGAACGAGTAGGGTACTCGAATCATTTAGCCAAACGATCACTTGCCCGACAATTGCAATTCGAACCAAAACAGATATCCCCGACTCCCTAGCTTTTTAAATCCTACGTGTTCTTCGTTGTTGGTTGCTATTTTTATTGCTTTATTTGAATTTCCGTGGTAGTTGACAGTTAAAACCAAAACCAATCATCTGAATTAGAATGTGTAGGAATTTTATTTCTTTTATTTGTGCTTGAACAAACGTGCAGACTATTCCGGCTAACCTTCCTCGTGAGACACGACTCGGTGTTCGAATCTGTCGATTCTACTCCGGAAAAATATTTACAACAATCTAGTTTAACATATTTTTTCGACACAATTGATGACATAATAATGATGTGTAATAGCAGTAACTAGTAAGTCATGTTGATTTTAAANGATATGATATCTCAAAGATAAAAGATTACAACCCGCAGGCTAACTAGCCCGAATAGTTTGTCCAAGGACTGTACAAGACACCTCCACGTGAACAAAACAAACTAATAGAAATGGAACTCAAACAATGGCAATGATTTTAAAGTCAGTATGATGTTTAAAATTAACCACGTGATTTTGAAGTTAATGTGATGCTTAAAATCACATGATTTTGCCAACGTATATATTATGTCAAACCTTATATCAACCACTATGTTACTATGTTATGGTATTATTACCCATTTACCTTATAAAATAGTAAACTTCGCTTTTTAGTGAAAAAGATGCTCCCCTTTGCAATGATAAATATTTTTAAATAAAAAAAAAAATGTCCTCCAGGCCGATCGTGAACGCGGTTTTTCCTACAAGACGATAAGCTCTGCCTGCTGGCACAGCTCATCCGCAACCACGAAGTCAACAACATGTTCCACATCACATTCGTCAGCATCGGTGAACAGCTCCAATACCTCCGGATGGTCAACAACAACTTGGCATCGGTCAACACGATCCTCGACGATGCCAATGCCGTCGTCCACCGCCACTGTAGCGACATCTTGCGCCGCCACATCGCCGGACTCATCCACGCCTACGTGGAGCATTCTCTCAACAATGCCCGCCAGCTCATCCCAAACTACACCATCAGGCGAGACTATCTCGACAAGATGATCGAGCACCACGAGGCCGTGTACGAGGCACTCGAAGCCCTCGACACCTCTAACCGGAACGCGATCGATGAACTCACCGAGACCATCCGAGAGCTCGACGAAATATTGATAATGTACATGAGGCTAAGCAGAAGCTTCAACTCCCAGATTGCTTGAAGTTGGTTGGTTGATGTCGGCGTGCGTGCATGGCGGCGCCGGTGAAAAAAATCAATTTTAGTTCACCGGCTTGGGTTGTTTTCTCGTTTTCGTCTAATAACTACTGCGATTTGGTTGGAAGCTTACAACAATAATAATGGCAGATATATGTTGAAGGGAGACGAAGGAGAATAATAATTTATGGACATTGTGATGCCCATGAATTAAGTGTGTTGTTTAAGTGAATAAGTGGGCTGCATTTCGACCAATCCCTGGTTTATGAGGCCTGCTTTTTGTCTGAGGGGTTCATGTAATTGGGCTTAGCCAATGCAGCCCACTATTCCGTTGTGTTCACTGTTTTTGGATTTAAAGACACCTTGTGACCTTTTTCAAAATTTGTTTACATTTTGTAAATACCATTTTATTGTTTCCTTAGAGGGCATATTTTTTTCCTACTTATACGTTCCTAATTACAGTAATAAGGTTTTTTTTTTGTAGTTATTTTTAATTTTTCTCTCTCTCTTCTTTCTTTTTATTTTACAGTTTCTTTCTTCTCTCCACAAATAACCAGTTTCCTCCTTTCTCCAATGACTTTCTCCATTTTTTTTTTCTCTTTTTTTCTTCTTCTTTCAAATTCACAAAAATACACTCATGAAAAAACCAGAATTTTTATTGTTCTTCCAATTTTAATTGGCGATTGAAATATTGTCTGCATGGTTCTGGCCCAGGTAAGTAATTGACTTGGAAGCTCCAAACATTGACAAATCGGAGTAGACGGTTTGTTTAGGGAATCATTTATTTAAATAAATAAAAAAATAATCCGTGGACAACAATAAATCAAAAAAAAGCTGTGTGGAAAAAAATCAAACAGCCGGATTCTCAGAATCTGTTTTTCCTTGAAACACGGAGTCTGGGAATCCGTTTTTATTAATTATTATTATTATTTTTTTGTTAAAAAACGGATTTTAAAAATCCGTTTTTATTTTTTAATTATTTTTTATTTATTTATTTTTTTTATAAAAAAAAACTTAAAACCGAATTTTGAAAATCCGTTTTTATTATTTAATTATTTTTTATTTATTTTTTATTTAAATTAAAAAAAACTTAATAACGGATTTTGAAAATCCATTTTTAAGTTATTTTTTAATTTTTTGTTTTTTAAAAGATAACGGGCGATTACACTATAATTGACTGAGATTGTAGTAATTCGACTTCAATTAGACTATTCGAATTCGATTAAACAATAATTGACCGATATTGTACTAATTCGACTTTAATTGGACTAATTCAAGGTCGATTATACTATAATTGACCTAGATTGTACTAATTTGACTTTAATTGGACTAATTCGAGGTCAATTACACTATAAGTGACCGTGATTGTACTAATTTGACTTCATTTGGACTAATTCGAGGTCAATTTTACTATAATTGATCGAGATTGTACTAATTTAACTTCAATTGGACTGATTTGACTTCAATTGGACTAATTTGACTTCAATTGGACTATAATTGACCGAGATCGTACTAATTCGACTTCAATTGAAATAATTATAGTGTAATCGAACTCGAATTAGTCCAATTGAAGTCGAATTAGTACAATCGAACTCGAATTAGTCCAATTGAAGTCGAATTAGTACAATCTCGGTCAATTATAGTGTAATCGAACTCGAATTAGTCCAATTGAAGTCGAATTAGTATAATCTCGGTCAATTATAGTGTAATCGACCTCGAATTAGTCCGATTGAAGTCGAATTAGTATAATCTCAGTCAATTATAGTGTAATCGAACTCAAATTAGTCTAATTGAAGTCAAATTAGTCCAATTGAAGTCAAATTAGTACAATCTCGGTCAATTATAGTGTAATCGAACTCGAATTAGTCCAATTGAAGTCGAATTAGTACAATCTCGGTCAATTATAGTGTAATTGACCTCGAATTAGTCCAATTGAAGTCGAATTAGTACAATCTCAGTCAATTATAGTGTAATCGAACTCGAATTAGTCTAATTGAAGTCAAATTAGTCCAATTTTAAGTAAAATTAGTACAATCTCGGTCAATTATAGCGTAATCGACCTCGAATTAGTTCAATTGAAATCGAATTAGTACAATCTCAGTCAATTATAGTGTAATCGAACTCGAATTAGTCTAATTGAAGTCAAATTAGTACAATTGAAGTAAAATTAATACAATCTCGGTCAATTATAGTGTAATTGAAGTCAAATTAGTCCAATTGAATACAATCTGGGTCAATTATAGTGTAATCAAACTCGAATTAGTCCAATTAAAGTAAAATTAGTACAATCTCGGTCAATTATAGTGTAATCGAACTCGAATTAGTCCAATTGAAGTCGAATTAGTACAATCTCGGTCAATTATAATGTAATCGACTTCGAATTAGTCTAATTGAAGTCAAATTAGTACAATCTCGATCAATTATAGTGTAATTAAACTCGAATTAGTCCAATTGAAGCCAAATTAGTACAATATCGGTCAATTATAGTGTAATCGACCTTGAATTAGTCCAATTGAAGTCGAATTATTTGACTTCAATTGGACTAATTCGAGGTCGATTACACTATAATTGGCCGAGATTGTACTAATTCAACTTCAATTGGACTAATTCGAGTTCGATTACGCTATAATTGACCGAGATTGTACTAATTTTACTTCAATGGGACTAATTCGAGTTCGATTACACTATAATTGACCTAAATTGTACTAATTTTACTTCAATTGAAATCCGTTTTATCCGTTTATAATTTTTTTTTTATAATCCGTTTTTTTTTTTTATTTATTTNCTACCCTTTGTTTAGGTCCCTAAACAGACGCACAAAAACCAAATAAGGCCATGCTCACCACCCGGCAACCACCGTACCGCTCAAGCTGTAACTCAAAACTTGAAACTCACGTCCACCGCCACCATGATCTGGTAAGAAAAAATAGATTTCAATCCTTGTGTGTGTGTTTGTTATGTAAATTGATTTAGTTCAATAAACAATTGACTTTCGAATTAATTGAACTCTTTTTGGTAAATTTGATGTGTTTTTCCAATTTTTGTATCTTTACCGTGCGGCCAAAAATGGGGGACTGAAATTGATTTTTCTCATAATTTATTTTGGGAACTCGGCGGTGAAGTGTTTATAAATTTATCAAATTATTTCTCGGTGATGTAGTTTTTAATTTGTGGTTAAGTAAAAGATTTATTTTATGAATTTATAAATCTATATGATTGTTTAATTTTCCTGGGAAATGGGTTTGTGTATGCAGATTTTGAGTGCTTTTATAAATACTAATCAAGAGACCATTATATTTTATTGTTTATACATAGTTGTTTCCATGTTGCTTCATAATTGTTATATTGTTGTTTTCTTGTTACTTATCTTGTTTCCATAGTTGTTTTCTTGTTACTTATCTTGTTTGTTGTTTTCATAATATATATTATTAATTTTTTTTAACTTACAATAACAAACATTTCTATTGCTTTCTAAATTGTTATGAATATGTATAAACAATTGATCAATTTTTATTTTTTGTTGTTTTTAGTCTTAGACGTTCAAGACTGAAGAAGAAGTTGAAGAAGAAGAAGAAGAAGAAGAAGAGAAGAGAGAAGAAAAAACGTGAAAATAGAGATAGGAGAGAGATAAGTAATAAAGAGAAAGAAATGAGAAAGCGTGACAGAGCAGTTATTGATTTTAAATTTTGAATTGATTGTTTTATTTGTAACATCCGATGATGCAATAAAAAAATCAAACCGGTCCGATTGGACCAATTATTGACCAGTTTTTTGGTTGACAGTTTTTTATGAGGACTAAACCGGTTAGGTGGCGGCTTCCTGGTTCAACTGGTTGAACCGATCGATTAAATATCAGTTTTAGAAAAGGTGTAAAAAATATTAACTCATAGTATTAATTCAAATGAAAACATAAAAGATGAAAGTAGAAAAAGTAATATAACTACGTATTACAAACAAAAGTAAAAAATATACAAATAAAAAATAAAAAATCTTAAGTGATAAATTCCAAATATACGACATATTAGCATACATCTTTGATCTTTCCATTATTAGTCACATTATTTTTATATTAAAATTTTTAATTTGAAATTAAGAATCATAATCTTAGGTAAATTAGAAATGAGACTCTTATCTTATGTATAATACATACTATAAAATTATACTGATCAACAAAAACGAATGACTGTACTATTATTAGTTCCCTATTTTTTATTTTATTATTATTATTATTATTATTATTATTATTTTGCAAAATTTCATTTAATTTATTTAAAAATTACTCAAATTATCAATGTTCTATATTTTCGGGAAATTTTTTTTAACCTCTCAAAGTATGCCATTTTTTTGAGTTTGCCATTAAATTTTTTTTTTTTTTGACAATTTGCCTCCCAATGTAATCGAAACTGACAACTTGCTTCATTGATTAAAAACCCTAATATGGCACAAAAGAGTTTTTGACTCAATTAATGATATATTTATATTAATTCTTTAAAATTGATTTAGGGCTTTTAAAGCCCATGACGAGATGAACAAAATGAGATATGATATTGTCGAATTTTGAAAATTAATACCTCTATAATCGATCCACGAAGATAGTAGGAGAATGTGTGTATAGAAAAAATTTCAATTCAAGTTTTCTGATAATCAAGATATCCGATTTTTGATTGAGAGGTGTCATTTGAAACTAGAAGGACAAATTTTATAACGCGTAAATCTTATGAAAATCCAACGGTCGGATTTTGATAAGTATTTAGAAAACTACTGATCAATAGTTAGCTTCTTTTTAGGCTACTAACCCAAATCCAACCGTTGGATTTTCATAAGATTTACTTCGATAGAAAACTCGTCCTTCAAGTTTTCAAATGACATCTTCCAATCGAAAATCGGATATCATGATTATCAGAAAACTTGAATTGAAATTTTTTCTATACACACGTGCTCCTACTATTTTCGTGGATAGATTATAAATGTATCAATTTTCAGAATTCAAACAATCATATCTTATTTTGTTAACAAATTGTTAAAAAAAAAAAAGTTTTTATGGCAAACTAAAAAAATGCTGAGAGTTTAAAAAATTTTTTCCCTATATTTTCCACCCAATAGGCCTTGGCGGCTCTTAAAACACACGCACACGTGAACTGAATATAAATAAATTTTATTCATTTTGTCTGTAAAACCATGCTTCAGAAATCTGGATTCGGTTGTACTACAGAAGAGTGAAGATTCGCTGCAATTTATTGGTCGGTAAAATCTCTTCTTTCCTATTTGCAAAATCTTGGTGACTGACCCGTCTCACGTGTGTTCTTACTCTCTCAAATTTTTGTTTGCTTAATATTATTGATGTTTCGAATCCTGGTAATGTGACCAATTTATCGTTTTCCAGGTACCCTTTTGTCCAATTTTCATCTTATTTGTGGAATTAAGCTCTTTGTGAGCTTAGACGTGGTGATTGCATCTGTGTGTCCTGTTTCTTGACTGTTTCATATTTTCGTGTCATTTTAATATTAAACGAATCTTGACCAGTTTCATTACAATAATTGTGCTTTTAATNTTGGCTTAGGCACATTGCATTGATGTTGATATTTATGAAATTGTACTTATGCTGGGCTGTTATATTTTGAAGGAAGGGCAAAAGGGTTTGTTCCTCTGAAGTCAGATTTTGATAAAGATTCCATTTTTGTGAACTGGGTTTTTGTTGGGGATCATGTTTTCTTTCCAGAAATGGAAGTGCTCATGGTCCTTAGTTGCTTCTATTGCTTCAATTATGGCTATAGTATCTGTTATTCATCTGTTTGTATACCCGGTGGTGCCGCCTTTGGATTATTTTGGACTCAGGCAGGCACAAAGCTCTTGCCTAGGTTCAAATGAAGGAACCAAAGAAAGTTCTAAAGAAGACCCTCGGCCGATGGTTGACTTAAATGTTCGATATCCGGCTGATTTACACGATACTGTGACTTTCAATGGTGCTCCATGGAAGGCTGAGATCGGGCGGTGGTTATCTGGCTGTGACGCAAATATCACGGCTGTTGAAATTGTTGAGGTGCTGACTTTTGTGATCGAATTCTAATAAAATATGACATTTTGGTGGACTGGTGAAATTTTTTTGGACCTCAGCTTGTTTTTGCACATGAAAGAGTTGATGTTTGTTTTGTTTTATTCATTTTGAATATTTATCTGATGGTAATGTGAACTGATACCAGAATATTGGAGGCAAGAGCTGCAAAAATGAATGCAGTGGCCAAGGCATTTGTAATCATGAGTTGGGTCGATGCCGATGTTTTCATGGATTCGGTGGTGAGTCTTTCTTTGATTTTATTTGCCTTATTGGTCTCTTTTTATGTTATATGACATGTCCATAAGCATGTATAAGATTAGTTTCAGATAAACTTAGCAGTTAATTTTTAAGTATCGTCTCAGTTTTGTCCATTGCAAATGGAGCTGGAAGAGTCATTGTTGACAATTCTCCTGGCATAGTGCTAATAATGGACTAGATCAAAATGGCTCAATTAAATTCTAGTGCTTCTTCTATTAGTGAAGTTTCTAGAAAAAAAAAAAATATATCAAACGGCGCAATGCACCTTGGGTCGCTACGGAAACAGCCTCCTTGTATAATTACAAGGGTAAGGTCTGCGTACAACTGACCCCCCAGACCCCAACCTGTTGGGAATATACTGGGTATGTTGTTGTTGTTGTTGTTGTTGTAGTGTCAGTTTTACTGTCAGCTTATCAATGAAAAGAAGGTGACATTGTCTGTGATGCGTGCTGCAGTAAAATGATTTGATAGTTAGTGAACTCTGATGCAAAAAGTAATATAAGTTAGAGAAAAAATAAATTTCGCTTTTGTAACTTGAAAATTTTCTGCTGCTAAGATTTTTCTTCAGAATTTTCATTATTTTGCTTCATATTATTATTATTATTATTATTAATTATTATCATTATTATTATTATTATTATTATTATTATTATTATTATTATTATTTAAATTTAAAATGAATTTCAATTCAATTTGGGTCAATCTGTATGCTTGGAGACAGGGGACGAATGTTCGGAAAAACTGCAGTTGAACTGCAATTATCCCAGTTCTGAAAAAGAACCGTATGGCCCCTGGGTCGTTTCCATTTGTTCTGCTCACTGTGATACGTCCCGAGCCATGTGCTTTTGCGGAGAAGGTACAAAATACCCAAATCGCCCTGTTGCCGAGGCATGTGGATTTAAGATAAAGTAAGCAAAGCTTCATGTGTAAATTAACTCAAATCCCCTTCATTCACAAATTACAAGCTTACAACGTACCACTGTTATGTTGCTGTTTTTTTTTGTAGTCCACCTTCTGAACCCGGGGCCCCAAGTATTACTGATTGGACGGTGGCCGATCAGACTATCTTCACCACAAATCGTAGTGAACGAGGTTGGTGCAATGTGGATCCAGCTGAAGCCTATGATTTGAAGGTTGCTTTCAAGGAAGAGTGTGATTGCAAGTATGACGGGCTTTCGGGCCGGTTTTGTGAGGTAAATGTGCAAAGCGTTTGCATCAACCAGTGCTCTAGCCATGGATTTTGTCGTGGTGGCTTTTGTCAGGTTTGTTCTGTCATCTTTATTATATTTCAGTTGTTTAACGTTTGATGAAAGTATTTTTTTATAAGTTATAAGGTAGAAAATTGTATTTGGTGCTCAAATTCGCCTTCAAGTATTGGTATAGTGACATATTTGTGTGGGATGAATAGATATTACACTGCATTTGTTGGACATTAATGGATTTTTATGGTGTCTTTTCTGTAGTGTGAAAACGGATGGTACGGAGTAGATTGCAGTATTCCTTCTGTTTTATCATCCATTACAGAATGGCCCGAATGGTTGCGGCCTGCAAATATTAATGTTCCAGAAAGCGCGCAACTCACGAGAAAAAATCTGGTCAATCTCAATGCTGTAGTTCAGAAAAAAAGGCCTCTTATATATGTTTATGATTTGCCCCCTGATTTCAATAGCCAACTCATGGAGGTAAAAAGAAATCACATCAACAACCTGATTTTTTTTTTTTTTTTTNATATTTTTTTTTTTTTTTTTTCATTTTTATTCGTGGGAAAATATAATCAGTTAATCACATTTTTATTCCTGGTTATAGGGACGACATTTCAAGTTAGAGTGTGTAAATAGAATATATGACGACCGAAATGCTACAATGTGGACTGATTTACTATATGGTGCCCAGGTATATTAACAACCCATCTGATAACAGTCGATGATTTATCGAATAAATTATGAAAAACTCTCATGTGGTTTAATCTATTTACAAAGAATAAATAGCCGATTGCCTTTTTCTAACTGCTTCATTTTCGACAGATGGCTATCTATGAAAGTTTATTGGCGAGCCCTCACAGGACATTAAATGGTGATGAAGCAGATTATTTTTTTGTCCCGGTACTCGATTCGTGTATCATAACTCGAGCTGATGATGCTCCTCACTTCAACATGAAGGTAAAGTTTTGCCATCTTCCATATATAACTTATCTAAACATATAATCTTACGAATGTTTTTACTGAAATAAAGGATCATTATGGAATGCGAAGTTCCTTAACGTTGGACCTATATAAGAAGGCCTACGAGCACATCATGATGCAATATCCTTACTGGAACAGAACCTCAGGGAAAGATCACATATGGGTATATCTTTATCTTTACTGAAAGGCCTCTTTTTTTCTTTTTGCTTTGGTAATCAAACTCTTTAAGGCTAATAAATTGTTT